GTTTCTACCCCTGCGGCTAGCGGCCAACACCCTGGACACGGAGTGTCTGTCCGGTCCCTCTGGCGACTGTTGTGGGGAAACAAGGGATGCAGCTGGGGAGCAGACGGGCCTGGCGCAGGACCACGGTGGGCAAGGCCTCGCACCGGAGGGCTGCGATAGACTGGAGGTTGTGCAGGGCAGACCTCCTGCAGGGGTGCGGTCCCAGGGTCCACACACTGAGGCAGAAGACCTATGTTGACTTTCAGAGCCGTCAGACCCCAGGGCTAGCCCCGGCCAGCAGAGAGAAGCCCTCCCGATGCGCCCGCCTGGGAAGACCTCATTTGCTCCAAGTGACAGCTGGCTGTCATCTCTCGGCCTCCCAGGACTGGGCAAAGGAGCCGAGACCGCAGGAAAGCCAGGAAGAGGAGGGACGTCGGGGCCTGAGTCACCTTGAACCCAGACAGAGGAGTCCACCCCTGCGCAGTGCCGCCCAGGCAGCAGCTGTAATGAACGGGGAGCGTTGACATCTAAATAATATAGCAGTTATCATAAATAATACGCGGCCGTGATGAAGATAGAGTTATTTATAAAAGAATTAATAATCAGGACGTGAGTGCGGGTTGAGTATTCAGCCACGGGGACACTGCCTGGATCCCTGATCTGAATTTCTATGGGGAATAATGAGTCTCCTTAGGAAGACAAAGACCTTGAAGTTTCCTAGCTATTTACTAACTAATTCCTGGTAATGAGGAAATTAACTGGGAAGTCAGACTCAGCTTGTGACAGGAGGAAGGCGGAGGCGGCTGGACCTGCCTCGGCCTGGCAAGGGCCACAGAGCACTTGTCAGGACCCTGGGACGGTGACTAATTAAATGAGTTATTAGATCCAAAGGGCAAACTCCATCCTGAGAATGCAAATGCTCGAAGACTAAGGCACAGAAGATCGATGGGCCCTCCGCTGCAGGGGCCTCATTCTCCTGAACCTCCGGGTGCCACGTGTCCCAGGGAGAGAGGCCAGTATCCAGGGACTGGCTGCCTCGGTGGCTGCCCGTCCTCACCCCAGCTGCCATAGCGCTGCCTCGTGTCTGCTGGCCCAGCTCTGAGGGCTGGTCTCAGGTCAGGGACCTCTAGGAATAAGGCTGGGCCTGAGGCCAGGGCTCCCGGGGCAGTTTCTGGCTTCCTGATGTGCTGCTGGGAAGGCCCCTAGGCTCCTCCCACAGGGTATCCAGTGCCCATAGCCTCAGTCCCCGCCCGGCCCTGTCCCTGAGCCTCAGTCCCCGCCCTGCCCTGTCCCTGCACCTCAGTACCTGCCCAGCCTTGTCCCTGCGTCTCAGTACCCGCCCGGCCCTGTCCAGGCAGCTCAGCCCCCAGTCCACACCAGCTCATTCTCTGGGTCCACGTGGCTCAGTCTCTTCAGTCCACACCAGCTCATTCTCTGGGTCCACGCAGCTCAGCCCCCCAGGCAGCTCACAGCTCTGGGCCGGGCGTTGGCAGCGTGGCTCCGTGGAGCTGGGAGGCAGGTCCTCCCTGCGCAATCCTGCTTCTGGAGCTTTCCTGGCCATCTTCATCCGCTGTCTCCGTCTAACGTGGCGTCTTCCCTCTGTGCCGGTCTCTGTCTTTCCGTAAGGACACCAGTCACATTGTGTCAGGCCACCCTGACGCCGTCCTCAGAGCCAGTGACACCGGTGACGGCCCTGTGTCCAAGCCAGCTTGCACTGTGAGGTGAGGTTAGGGTTTGACTTAGGGATCTGGGGGCTCAGTGTGGCCCCGGCCTTTCTGGGCCACAGTCCCCTGAGCGCACGTCGCTGCAATGGCCTGATTGTTGACAGGCCAGCTTCTGGTGGCAGGGAGACCCCTGGACTGGGTGTGGCCCTAGGAGGAGACTAGACGCCCCGTCAGAGGCCAGAGGCCGTGGTAGGGCCGAGGGGAGTCCTTCTCCATCTTTTGTCTTTTGCTTATTGCCTGGAGAAGGAGGTTCTCTCGGGACAGAGGGGTCCCGCCATGACCTGGCCCACAGTACCACCCGGCAGTGGTTCTATCTGTCGGGCAGCTTCTCCCAGAGCCTGTGGGACACCTGCGAGATGGGGCTCCCTGCAGGCGCCAGGATGACCTGGTGCTCAGCAGAGGGCGCACAGCTGAGTCTTCATCGTGCAGAGGGGACTTGCTCCCATCTTACAGGCCCAGAGAGGCCAAGGGAGGAGCCCAAGGCCACAAGGCCAGCAGGAGCACGGCAGCGGCCCGCCCGCACCAGACGGCCTTCCCAGAGGCCAGACCTCACCCTGAAGCACGGCCGGCTCAGAGCCTGCGGTCACCTGTAAAGTCGGGCACCAGGACTGCGTGGCTGAGTGGGCGGGCATGGGCCTGGAAGGCAGAGGCCCAGGAACCACACCCCTCCCCCAGCATGGCTTTCCAGGAACCCCACACCCAGCCCTGAGACTCTCGAAGCATCCCTGTCCTGCCGGCAACTCTAGGAACACTTAAGGGGTGCAGTGTATGCGGCGCCCCCACACTGTGACCGGAAGCGGGCCGGGCGGCGTCCCAGCCTCAGTCTGCTCCAGGCTCGGAGACTGCTATTCCGGCTCCGGCGTCTGTAAATGATCTGCAGGCCCAGCGCTGCGATCTGGAGCCTGCTCAGCCCTCAGACAAAGGCTCCTGAATACTAATTGCGAAGTGATTCATTGGAGCCGGGCGTGCTGGCCCCTCACCGCGGCCCCGCTCCCACTCTCCTACCAGCTCCAGACCACTGGGGCCGCACGAGCTGGTTGGAGTCACTGCCTTCTCAGGGGGAGAGCTTATGCCGCGATCCCAGAGCTCTCAGCTCGGGGCAGACCTGCCCGGGAAATCCCTGCCCCTCTCCCACCCTCTGTTCCTTCCCTTGGAAGGCTGTCTGCCAGCCCTGGGTCCTGGCAATCGGGACATGTGGGTACACAGCCCTGCTCCCTGTACCTGCCGTGTGGACACCTGGCATCCTTGTGTTCTCTGCTGTCTGTCTTGGCCTTCACCACCCCCCACGCCCAAACACTTTCCTCTATCCAAACCTCTGCCTGTTCTCCAGGATTGCACTCAGCGGTCACCTCCTCCAGGCAGCCTCTGGGGTTCTTTCTCCCTGCTCTGTTATGGTTCTGGGACTCCTCCTTTCTCACTCATCCATTGGGGTATTGTGGCTACCTGTCACCCCTACACCCACAAAACTCAGCATCCACCTGGTGAGTCTGGGATGGAGAGCCTGGCACGCGGTGGGTGCTCAGCCAGTGATCATCCGTCTTGCCCAACCTCCCAGCATCCTGGGGCTAGTCTCTTCAACCTCTCTGAGCCTCAGTCTGCTCCCTGAAAGATGGAGCAGCACCCCAGAGGACCGTGAGGACCTTTTCCTGAATCCTTCGTGCCACGAGGTAGGCACCTCAGCCTTTCCCCTCCGCGTCCCCAGGACCCAGGTTTTCCAGCCGGCCTCGGTGCCCCTGTGAGCTCAGCCCCAGGCCTGGGTGAGGGTACACTGAGAAGAGCCAACCACCACCCCGAGCAGAAGGCCCTTGGTGAAGGGAGGGCACTGGCGATGGAGCAAGATCCACGGCGCGGAGCAGGCTCGGCTCCGGGCTGGGCTCAGCTTGAACAAGGACCAGCAGCTGGTCACTCGAGGGCCAGGGAGGGGTGAGCAGGAGGCGTCTGAGGGGACTGTGGCCCGGCCAGGGCGGGGAGCCCAGAGGGGCCGAACATGGCTCTGTGACCACTAGAGGGAGGGGAGGCGCTGGGAGCAGCCGGCCACGTCCCACTGGCTCAGGCCTGGGCTCTGTGCTGTTGTCTGCAAGGCACATGGCGGCCCTCGCGGCACCCCTAATCACAAGTGCCCTGAAACCCTGCCAGGAACACAACCTTCTGAGGCGGTTTTCCCTCATTTAAATTCTTCCTTGACATTTGTACGACAGCGAACAAGAACGGAACGGGAAGGGGGAAGGAGCCCGGGGCTGTGAAGTCTCCTCGAGGGAGAGAAAGAGCGGGTAGGACCCCAGACCACCCCTGTCCCAAAACGGCACCATGGATCTCCCATGAGCCCCCGATGGCTCCATGTCAGGAGGGGAAACAGGCTCCGCCCTCCCAGGACACAGCCACAGAGCCTCCCAATCCATCCTGGATAAAAACAAACCCCTTCCAGAGCCTGCTGCCCACAGGGGTGCTCACGTGTGGCCAAGCGAGAGGTCCAACAGCTGGCTTGCCAGCGTCCCCGAGGCCTGGGACGTCCCGGTCCTCAGCTCAGTCTCCCGTAGGCCATCAGGGCAGCAGGTCCTCATGGCTCGGTGGAGAGGGTGGCCCAGATTGGACTCCTGCTCTGAGCGGGACGGAAGGTTCTGGGTCCTCTCTGAAACAGCATAAGGGAGAGGTGGGGCAGGAGCATCTTTGTCGCCAAGTGTGGTTGGCCAGGTGGGACTTCATGGAGAGAGGACCGTACCTCCCTCCCCAGGACCTCAGCCCTGCACAGCTCCTGAGTGGTTGATGGGTCACTCAGTGGCTGCCTGGGCTGGGGCCGTGTGGAGGTCGGCGGTCATCTTGAGGAGGATGGTCCCAGAACCAGCGCCCGGTCAGATGGGCTCCGGGGCCACGGGGGGGGGGGGGGCAGCGCTGTGGGGAGGGGGGGCAGG